TTGACATTTGATTGTGCCTTGGTGTTTGGAAATTCAATGATTTTCTCACATATGTCGGTTTAACTGCCTGGTCCCAGGCAACCGGGCCTTGACAATCTTGGACAAAAAGCCAATAAGGTACCATCACTGCCACATTTTGGGGAAATACAAAATCTTGGGCATTGCACATTTTTTTGATTTTAATATGTAAAGCTGGTTTTTAAATGTTCAAATGGACTTGCCTCTCAGCATCTCTGCAAATACATCACAAACCTGTAGAGCTGGTGTCAATTCTAAACTTATGTTAAAACATCTTTTGCTCAGACAGCTGTCAGAGGAGCAAAGTCCTGGAATTGCTGCCTAATCTCTCAAAATTTGCCTCTAGCTTTTAAGAAAGAGCTACCAAATCTTGGTTAATTCAGCAACAAACCTGTACTCATGTATAGTTCTGAAATGTGTCATCTTTAATTATTTGCTTTATGTGTTGTTGTATTTTTTCGTAATGTGTGTACTCTTTTTACCTACGTGTTTAACACCTTTTTTTCATAAAAGCCCTTCTAGGGACAGGTGTTGCAAGTTAGCATCCGCCATAAACACAATGATACCTGTTTTCAGTCTGTCTGTGTTTTCTGTATCTGTCCCTATCAAATAAACCATAAATGAATAAAATAAAAACACACAGACACATATGCTGTTTCAGGCAGAAATGGTGTTGGATATTCCTGTTTTCTAATCCCTTTATCTTGAGAAAACTCACTCATTTATCAATACTATTATAAGGACAGTACAATAACACTCTTGGTTATAATTTATAATAACTAATACCTGCTCATCACCTACCAATTTAATGTTTTTAATTTACTTTTTAAGTGTGTTTCATGCACAGCCAGTCATATTCATCGCTCCCTCCCAACAACAAAAAAGAAAGAAAGAAATGTAATTAACATGTTGTCATCAATGCTTTGTATCTGTCAACTAGTCTCTGCTGATTGAAATGCATCTCTCATCAAAGGATACATATTGACACAATCAGACATCTTTTGCACGGAAAACTAGAGGCGTGTGCATTGTCAGCGTTGACAGGACTTACCCTCAACAGTGTAACAGTGTATTTAATCCTAATGGTGATGTTTTCTCAAACCGCACTGGCTGGCCTCTGCCTCCGATTTACCCAATTCTTAATATCTAATATTTAATAATTCATTCTTAAGGCTGCAGTAGGTAACTTTTAGAAAATGTCCTACTGTCATGATATAGTGAAAGTTTAATCTAATATGACAAAAAGTTATTTTTATAAACCTTACCCACTGCAGCTTTAAGTACAGAATGAAACCCTAACAGGAATGAAACACAAGTTTAATATATAAACATGACGTATTGAATGAAAAAAAAAGTTTAGTTTGCAAATAATAATGAAACAATGGCACATTGCACATTCAATACATTGTTTATTAGGAAGGTTTTCATTCAGTAAATGCGGAGTATTGTTGTGTAGTTCTAGTATAAAACACTGTAAGTGCTATCAATTTGTATGTAAACCAGATCCATTCAGTGCAATAAAATGTATAATACAGGAAAAAACATAATGAATCAGTGAGTGAATAGCTCATACTTTTGCCTGAGGGTCTATGTGTGTATGTGAGTGCCCAAGTGTGAATGTACACACAAAATCTCATTAAAAGATTACACAACATTGAGATTACATAATGTGCAACCAGAACAATCATGTGGGACTGTCTGGGTGTCCTGTCTTCAATGTACATCATTCAGGTAAACCATTGTGTGACCAACGACAATATTTCCCTTTACTGGAACTTGAAAAATTAAATGTAAAAAGATCCCATTATTTAAAACGATGTGAGTTTCCCTGAGGTACAACATTTAAAAAGTGTTGTATTACTTTTTAGTGGTGGTTTTTACTACTAGCTGAAAGACACTAGCGGGATACACAGTGAGAGGTTGTCATTTAAGAGCTCTTACTTCAGTTCTAAAAAACTCAGAAACAGAAGGCAGTAAACGGCTCAGGCTAAAAACTAAAGAAAAACATTTTCATTAGTAACTCTCAATATAAATGTTTTTTTGGCACATGCTACTGCAACGATACTTTAGAGGATTACGGGAACCCCCCCAGGCTTACAAAGGCAGATCATTCCATTTAACATGCACTCTCAGTAGCAGGTGCGAATGAAGATGATGAAAACTAAGACAACAGTTATAATGGTTAGTGCAGAAAATAGAAAGATAAGGCCGGCAAAGACGGGATCTGTCAAGGGGGGGATTACTTTCACTTCAGATGGGACCATGTTGGACATACTCAGCATGTAGCCCAAACTCCAACCTATGCTGGTTTTCTTTATCTGAAAAGAAGAGAAAAGAAGATATTTGCCATGTTCTCACCATGAACTTGCATGTTGTTCACAGTATTCGTTCAGCAGTACATGCTTCCACTCAGCTTGTCATTGCATGTCTAGAGACGTTTAGAGCATCAAAAAGCCCTGTCATGAACACAATTACAGCTCTAGGGCAAAAGATGAGTCATAACTCCCAAAGAACATCCCTGTAAAGAATCCAAGTGCGTCTGTTTTGTAACTTCCTTGGAAAGGACCTACCAACCACAAGACTCCCAGACACCCAAAAGGCACTAAACACACACTGAATCTGTTGTTGGAAATTCAGAGCATTGCCAGCTGTTAAGGAACGCTATTGTGATCCAGACTAAAGGTTAATCGCCACCATGCAATTAGGAAACTGCAGTAATGTACGACTTTTAAATAGCTATCTTTCTTTATGACTCATGAGGGATAGACTGAGGGTCACAGACCAGGAATCCCCTTCTGTTGAGGGAGTTCCATTGTGACAAACACTGCATGTCCTCGGGGCGTCCTGGAGTGATACATTGGCTGCCTTTCATTCTGGCCTCAACTTTTTGAGTGCCGATGACTGGTATGTCAGCCATCCCATTTTTAATGGGTCCCACTGGGTGGCCTTATTCACACTTGCATGTGGAACACTGTTTAACGCCTGTGTCTGAACATGAGAGACTGGTGAAAGCTAAAGCACAGCAATTGTCATCATCAAACAGCCATAAACTTATTCTGATGGTTGTTTTCTCCTTTGTATATAATAGGAGCGTTATTTTTGCAAGAATATATGAGGAGGAAAATATGTATTGGCTTTAAATCTGTGTAAAGAACAGCACAATGCAGTAGCGGGGACAAAGAGTGTCTTAAATTATGTTTGTTTTTGCTCAACCAACCTTTTCTTCGAAGTAAATATTTTTCCAGGTCTCTTTGTCAAACTTGTATCCATCTGCCAGCAAAGAGAAGACATAGTGACCTCCATAACAATAAGTCTTAAGGTATTTCTCAGAGATCCATTTCTTTTCTTTCCTCAGCTGAAAGGAAGATAAACAGAGAACAACTGTGATTTAGAAAAATGACACAAATGAATGATACTGAATGATAATGAATGACAAAATATCAATGTTGATTCAGATGAAAGACTTTAAGACCAAGACAAGACAGAGACAAAACAATGTAGGATAAAAAACAGTTACAAAGACATTATGCTGCTATTATGTGGGTCTGATACACAGACACGAGTCCCTGCAAAAAAAAGAAATATCCACTCTTACACGCAGTGGTGGTTCTACCTTTAATGACACCCTGGGCATCAAGCGCCCCCACCCCCCACAATTAAGAAAACAAAAAAAACCCCACAAAATTCTGCACAAACTG